AGTGGCTTTGAAGTTTCTGGCTTATGTGAGGATATGGAGGTGACATGCACTGAGATTACTAAGAAAGAACATGTTTAGAGGTAAAGTGGATGAGTTTTTGGACATATTTAATTTGAGGCATCACTAACACATAAGCAGAGAGCTGCTATTTTGAAGATTGGTAGACAGTTCTAGCTGGAGATGGATTTCAAATTCCTGACATATAAGTAATTCCCCGGGATGAGTATAAAGTGAGAGGAGCAAGTCTGGGAAATGCCAACGTTTAGGAAATGAACTGAGGAAAAAGAACCAAAATATGGCAATAAGGGGGAGACTTGAGAAAAGTGGAAAACCAAGTGAGAGCACATCAGAGATAAGATAACTTCCACAAAGACAGTGCTCAGAATGTCAAATGCTGGAGAAAAGTAAATAAATATGAGAAGAGGAAAGTGTTTACAATCATGTATCACTTAACAATGGGGATATGGTTGAGAAATAGGATGATTTTATTGTTATAGAACATTACAGAGTACTTACATAAGCTTCTGGTATAGCTTACTACACACCTAGCCTATGAAATGCTATAGAATACTACTGTGTGAATAGTGTAGGTAATTGTAACACAACAGTAAGTATTTGTTTACCTAAGCATATCTAATCATAGAAAAGGTACCATAACAATACAGTATAAAAGATAGGGCACTTGCTATGAATGGAGCTTGTAGGACTGGAAGTTGCTCTGGATGAGTCAGTGAGTGAGTGGTGAGTGAATGCGAAGACCTAGGACATGACGTGCACTACTGTAGTCTTTATAAACACTGTACACTTAGGCTACACCAAATTTATAAAAAAATATTTTTCTTTAATAATAAATTAAACTTAGCTTACTATAATTTTTTACTTTATAACCTTTTTAATTTTTAACTCTTTTAATGACATTTAGCTTAACACTCACTTAGCTGTACAAAAATATTTTCTTTTTGACATCCTTATTCTATAACTATATATATATATATTACTTTTTAAACATTTTTGTTAAAAACTAAGACACAGACACACACATTAGCCTAGGCCTACACAGGGTCAGAATGATCAATACCACTGCCTTCCATCTCCACTCTTGTCCCACGGGAAGGGCTTGGGGAGCAGGAACACAATGGAGCTGTCTTCTCCTACAATTGCAGTGTCTTCTTCTGGAACACCTCCTGGAGGACCTGCCTGAGGCTCTTCTGGAGGAGGTGTCACTCTTCAGAACTATGTCCATGGTGGCTTGCTTGGTTTGTGTGGGTTTTGTTGTGTGTGTTTTTTTTTCCATTATAGATTTGTTTATAAGCAGATAATAAACTGTGAACATTCTTCTCTATTCATGAAAAATTTTCAGTTTTGGAGTTTATGTTTTCAAACTTTTAAGGAGCTTGTTGAGGTCTGCAAAAGCTTCTGCTAACCCCTTCACTGTGAATTTTCTTGGGGGGCAGTTCTTCTTTAGCTTCTCCTACCTCTTCTTCAGTTACGCATTCTTATTCTAGTTCAAGCAACTCCTCGTTAGTCAAATCCTCAGAAACCATCTGTAGGAGCTCATCAACTTCATCCTCATCCACCTCAAGGTTAAAGTTGTTTGCCATCTTAAACACAGCCTTGTTGATTTTTGCAAACTCCTCACTGTCTGCAAATCCTTTGTAGTTATGGACAAACCTCTTGAGTGTCTTCTTCCAGATGCCATTCCTGCACTCCTTGGCAACATCACCCAAAGCCTTAGCAAGGTTCCTGAGGCAGTCATAGATATTGTAATCTTTCCAGAATCCCATCAGAGTCCTCTCGGTGTCCTTCTTGGTTGCAACCATAGCCTTGGCAAAGGTCCTCCTCAGTTGTAGGCCTTAAAAGTTGATGTAGCTCCTTGATCCATTGGTTCAAATAGGTGGTATCTGGAGGGAGAAAAACCACTTTGATGTTGGGATAAAGATCACCAATATGCCCAGGCCAGTTTTGCTCAGTGGATAGAGCGTCTGCCTGCAGACTCAGGGGTCCCGCGTTCGATTCCGGTCAAGGGCATGTACCTTGGTTGCGGGCACATACCCAGTAGGGAGTGTGCAGGAGGCGGCTGATAGATGTTTCTCTCTCATCTCTCCTGTTTCTAACTCTCTATCCTTCTCCCTTCCTCTCTGTAAAATATCAATAAAATATATTTTTAAAAAAAGATCACCAATAAAAAGAGGATTTCCAGAAGTATTATGAACAATAAGCAAAATATTGAAAGGTATGTTGTTCACCAAACAGTACTGCTCCATTTCACTGGCATAGCCATTGAGGAGGGCATCTTGGAAGAGGAGCTGAGTTATCCATGCCTCCTTATTGCTTCTGTAGTATACTAGCTTAATGGAATGCTTGAAGACCCTGGGGTTCTCATGGTGCCAGATCACAAGGTTTTCCATTAGTAGCCTGCAACATTGCCCCCACGCAAGACCTATTCTGTTCTTAAATACCCTGAAACCTAGCACTGGCTTGGTCTCATTTTGGGTGAAAGCCCTTCCAGGCATCCGTTTCCAGAATAGACAGGTTTCATCCATATTGAACATTTGCTCTGGCAAGTAATTTCCCCCCATAATCAGCTTATCTAGAGTTTTCCAAAATTCTTCAGCTGTCTCCACATCAATACTCGCAGACTCACCATTCACTTTCACTTTATATGAGTAACGATTCTGGGAATCATTTAAATCACCCAGAGCTAACAGTAAATTTAGTGTCATAACTGAGTGCAGACTTTTAACATTGCAGACACACTTGTGCTTTGACTATGCTCATCATGGTGCTAAGAGGGATACACTTCTGTGTCTGGTCTTCAATCCAGGCCAGTAGGAGTTTCTCCACATCTCATACAGGCCCTTCTCAAATTTTTATTATTCTTGTTGCCTTTGATGAAGTAGATCCTTTAACAGCTTCTATCACTTTGTTCTCGTTCTACAAGATCAAAGCTGTGGTGAAATGTGACATGCTTGACAGACAAACAGTAACCATCACTGATTTTCCATCTTCGTAGTCCTAATCACTGTTAATTTCATTTCCAGGTTAAATACTCAATGCAGCCTCTTACTGGCAACATTAGCAGTGAATTTTGTACACTTAGGGGCCATGATGAACAATACAACACGAGTTTAAGTCAACCGTGAAAGAAAATGATGCAATCAAGAGATGCAGTAAACACAAGATGTATGAGGCTCCTGCCAGCATAAAATGGCATACCGTTTTACAGTAACCCTTTTTTAATAAGTAGAAAAAGTACATTCTAATGTATCTATTTATAGCATAGTAAATACATAAAACATTAACATAGTCATTTATCATTATATGTAGTGTAAAGCATTGATGTGCCATCCTTTTATACAATTGGCAACACAATAAGTTTATTTATACCATTACCACAAACACGTGAGTAATGCATTGTGCTATGACATTTTGATGGCTATGACTAGGCAGTAGGAACTTTTCAGCTCCATTATAATCTTATGGGCCTACTGTTGTATATGTGGTTCATTGTTGACTGAAACGTCGTTATGCAATGCATGACTTTGTTTTGGCAAAATCCAATCATCAGTGACTTTAGCAAGGGCAGTTAGTGGAATGGCAGGAAGGACAGGAAGAAACAAGGGGATAATAGATTTGGGAGTGACTGTGCAGGAAGGAAGAGGTATAAGGAAGCTCTACATAGTGGTCTTGGGGTAGGGTATAGGAGGGGGGAAAGAAGTAGGGACACTTCTTCCAAATAAAGGAGTCTACTGAGAACATATTCTTAAGGCAGTTGAGGGATTTTTCACACAGTTGCCATTGTGAACTTTTTAAAATATGAATAAAAATAAGGACCCATATGTAATACCTTAATCAATAAAAAATATATATTTTCTTCATGCTTTATGTAATGAACATTTTTTTGTTGCCCACCCACTTTTATCTCCTCTTGGAAAACTGATTCTTCCCCTTGGTGTGCAGCCTTAGTAGAATTCTAAATATAAAATGCAAAACTATAAAACTCCCAGAAGATAAGATAGAAGAAAACCTAGATGACCACTGGTATGACAAGGATCTTTTAGATACAACACCAAAGACATAATCCATCAAATAAAGAATCAATGAGCACGACTTCATTAAAAACTTCTGCTATCAAGAGAATTTGAAGACAAGCCACAGACTAGGAGAAAAATATTTGCAAAAGACATATCTAATAAACGGCTGTTATTCATAGTGTACAAAGAACTCTCAACACTATGAAAACAAGCAAACCAATTTTTTAAAAATGGCCCAAAGATCTTAACAAATACTTCACCAAAGAAGGTATACAGATAGCAAATAAGCGTATAAGAATATGCTTCACATCATATCTCATAAGGAAAATGCAAATTAAAACAATGATACATCACTATATGGCAATTAGAATGGCTAAAATCCAAAACAATCATAACACCAAATGCTGGTAAGTGTGGAACAACAGTAACTCTCATGTGTTGCTTGTAGGAATGCAGAACGGTGCAGCCACTTTGGCAGCCTCTTACCATGTGATTGAACAGTTGTGCTGCTTTGTATTTACCCAAAAACCTGCACATAGC